AAGGAGAAACCCTCTCTCTACTAAAAATACAAAAAATTAGCCGGGCCTGGTGGTGCATGCCTGTAATTCCAGCTACTCAGGAAGCTGAGGCAGGAGTATCACTTGAACCCGGGAGTGATAAGAGGAGACATATATTAGCCTGCTTGAAGCTGTCTCATAGCTCACAGATGCTCTGTTTATTTTTTTTCTGTTTCCTTCTGAATAATTTATTGCTCTGTCTTCAAGTGTACTAATTTTTTCTCCAGTACTATCTGCTGTTAATTCTATTCAGTGACTGAAATGCAGCATGATACATGAGATATTCAACATTTTATTATAAAACAGGCTTTATTTTTGTTTTGTTTTATTTGAGATGGAGTCTTGCTCTGTCACTCGGGCTGGAGTGCAATGGTGCGATCTTGGTTCACTGCAACCTCTGCCTCCCAGGTTCAGGCGATTCTCCTGTCTCAGCCTCCTGAGTAGGTGGGATTACAGGCATGTGCCACCACGCCAACTTTTTGTATTTTAGTAGACATGGGGTTTCACCATGTTGCCCAGGTTGGTCTCGAACTCCTGAGCTCAGGCAATCCACCCGCCTCGGCCTCCCAAAGTGCTAGGATTACAAGCATGAACCACCCCACCCAGTCCAGGCTCTGTAAACAGGCTTCGTGTTAGATGATTTTGCCCAACTATAGGCCAAAGTGAGTTGTTCTGAGCATGTCTGAGGTAGGCCTAGCTAAGCTATGATGTTTCATAGATGTATTAAATGTATTTAACTCATGATATTTTCAATTTACAATGGCCTTATCTGAGCATAACCACATTGTCAGTCAAGTCACACATATATTTACTAAAGTAGATCACTTCGGGGACCATAAGCCATCTCAAAACTCATTTTAAAAGATTCTATAGTAGGGCCAGGGGCAGTGACTCACGCCTGTAATCTCAGCACTTTGGGAGGCTGAGGTGGGCAGATCACGAGGTCAGGAGTTCAATATCAGCCTGACCAACATGGTGAAATGCCATCTCTACTAAAAATACGAAAATTACCTAGGCGTGGTGGTAGCTGCCTGTAATCCCAGCTACTCAGGGGGCTGAGGCAGGAGAATCACTTGAACCCGGGAGATGGAGGTCGTGGTGAGTCAAGATCACACCATTGCACTCCAGCCTGGGCAACAGAGTGAGACTCCATCTCAAAAAAAAAAAAAAGATACTGTAGTACAATTGGTCTGGTCTTCGTTCAGCGTTCCTAGACACTGAGCTCCTAAAACCCATGGAATTTCCTAAACAACAGGAGTGCCTTCATTATTCATGGTAAGCCCTGAAAGTGTATGCTAATGATGTGACCCACAGTGGGCCCTAGACAGCTAATGCTAACAAGATGATTTAGGATGGAGGTAGCTCATGTCAAAAAAATAACCATGATTAGGGTGTTGAGACTTTGAGCCAGCCTGATGTCCAGGTAGAGGAGGGAAGCTGAAGATTAAGTTCAATCACACAGTAAAGATTTTAATAAATCATGCCTACGTAATGAAACCCCAGAGAAAACACTGGACTTCCTGATTACTTGATATGTTTTATTTCTTGACTTGGATAGTTACACAGTTGTTACTATTACTCATTAACATGTCCATTTATGCTTATGTACTTTTCTATATACAGATTTTAAAATAGAAGTTTTTTAATATTGAAAACAATCCAGATTTGATGGAAGACACAAATCTGCAGATTCAGAATAAACCTAAATCCATGATAAATCTACAGCTAGACATATAATAAAAACTGCACATCTCCAAAGGAAAAGATATTATCTTAGAACAGCTCAAGAGATGTCGGTTCTAAATCTAAAGCTCTAAGGACATAATTTCAGAAAGTATAAAGAATTTTACCTAGAAGGAACATCTGACACACAAGAAAAAAGGTAAGCTCCCACCATGTCCCATCAAAAAAGATAAACGTTTGGGCAAATCTAAACAAACATTGACTATATAAAATACTAATAATATCCAATTTGGAGATTCAATAAAGAACTTGTGGAATTTAATTAGAATTAATGTTATTTCAATACCTTTGTGTTGTTTGGAAAGAGGGTAGCATTTTTAGATGGTTTAAGGATAATCAAAAGTACTTGTAACATTCACATTCCAAATCAGTAAAGGGAAAAATATATGATTAAATAGAAAATCCAGCTGATACCAAAAGACAGGAGGAGAGATAAAGGTGAGAAAGAAGCATAACATAGAAAAAGAAATATGGTAAAAAATAAGATGGCAAAAAATAAATCCAAATAAATTTGTACTTTGGCACTACAATGGAATAGACACTTTTTAAAAGTGTTCTCCCAGTACAAAACACTAGATCTTGGAGAAAACAGACCTCTTAATTCATTGCTGGTTTGTACCATATAAGGAAAATCTCCAGGCCTACATTCAAGACAGAAACTCCCTCTATATTATACACTCAAGACAGATACAGAAAAAAAACTTGAGCTGAAACAAAAGCAAGAAAGCAGCAGGAAGCATCAAGCAAGAAGACAGCTTGAAAGATGGGGTTTATCCCTGAAGGCAGATAGCTTCGGCCTGTTAGTTTGCAATTGACCTGCAGAGACAAAACCTTCAGCTAGTAGTAAGGGTTAGGGAGCTTAAACTTAAGACAAGGCATTGGCATTCAATCAGGATCCTCAAAGGTGAATAGAGTATGCCAAGGAGTTTGTACCACCTCACCCAGAGAAGCAACGAACTCAAATCATACTGAAGGGTAACACACAACTTAGGTCCTCTGTCTTCTCACGGATTAACACATACTCAAGGAAATAAGTCACAATATAGGCAATAAATAATAACCTTAAATGTAAACTTATAAAAACTTAAAATATTGAAATTATCAAAAATATCAAATATTTGACTTTTAAAAATTAGAAATAGACTTACAAGGGACTGTAATCAGTAAATAGGAAGTTAAAAAGAATCAAATGAAAAATATATTTATTGAAATTAAAACCATCATTGTTTTCAACAGCAGGTGAGATGCTACTGAGAAATGAACTAGTAAACAGAAAGATACAGCTGATGAAATTACCCAAAATGCAGTAAAAAGAAACAAGAGGATGAAAAATGTGAGAAATTAAAAGACATGAAGGATACAGTAAGAAAGTTTATCATTTGTATACAGTCCTAGAACAGGGAAGAAATGTTTGAAGAGCTAGTGATTGAGAATTTTACAGAACATGAATTTAAAAATACAGAAAGAAGCCAGTATATGCTAAGAATAAAAAGAAATTCGCACTTCCAAATAATACAGTAAACTTGCAAAACATCAAAAAGAGATAATCTTAAAAACAGAGAAAAAAGATCCCATAAAAAGTTGATTCTGAGACCCAAAAATGTTGAGACTAACTTAAAACCACAAAATAAGTAGCATAACTGTGACACAGCCCCTACATTCTCAATCTATGAAATGTATTTTTAACTATTTTACCTTCTCTTTCTAAGCTGGACAAAACCATTCACTTTGTTTTCTTAGCCATTTTTTCTTAAGACCCTTCTAGGAAGTTCCTGAAATCATTAAAAGGATTATAAAATGTTTTAATGAATTATTTACAAAAAGTTATATATCCCTTCCATAAGTTTAATTACCTTACTGGAATACTTCATGTAAAAAAAAATACTATGTTCCTTGATTCAGAATACTAAATATTTGCATGGTGAACAATTTCTGATGTTCTTGCTCCAAGTTACTTTTCTTGATAACCTCAAACTACCTATTTAAAATCTTCCGTGTTAGCGTATTTTCAAATTCCAAGGAATCCAAAACTAAGTTAAAATTTCAGACCTGGGGCCGGGCGCAATGGCTCACACCTGTAATCCCAGCACTTTGGGAGGCCAAGGTGGGGGATCACCTGAGATCAGGAGTTCAAGAGCATCCTGGCCAATATGGTGAAATGTGGTTTCTACTAAAAATACAAAAATACAAAAATGTGCTGGGTGTGGTAGGGCATGCCTGTAATCCCAGCTGAGGCAGGAGAATTGCTTGAACCTGGGAGATGGAGGTTGCAGTGAGCTGGGATCGCGCCACTGTACTCCACCCTGGGCGACAGAGTGAGGCTCTGTCTCCAGGAAAAAAAAAAAAAAGGAAAGAAAATTTCAGATCTAGAAGAAAGTATTTTTAAGCTACTCTTTGGTTCATATTTGTGTACTTTATTTTTAAAGTCTCTTCTTTATATGTGCAAAAATTATAAACTTGAGACCACGATACTCCCATATTGGTGCTGGGGGATACTTTAATATATTCTATAAACATCCTCTATGTTTTGCAAATTATATAACACATTCTCAATCTTATATCCAATTTTTAGTTTAGCAGGCAAAAGAAGAAGACAGTAACAATGGGAGAAAGAAGACGTCCACCAATTTAGTAATGGTCTATATTTGTGGTTGTTATGACAACCTAATATCATCTCCAAATGTAGGCAAGATACAAAAACATGTAACTCAGTGCTTTTAGGCCCTTCAAACTAGCTGGAAAGAAATGGACTTCTTCCATTATCTAGTATGCTTATAGGCCCATCACCTTGCATTTCTGGTGTCCATCTTTCCCTTAATTTACTTGCATGGAGAGTTCCTTCTACCACTGTTCTCTACAACATACACTGTTCTCTCACTTCAACTCCCCACCCTGGCCCTAGCCAAACCATTCATTCATTCATTCAATGTTTATTGAATGGCCCTTGTGTGCTGTGTATTGTGGTAGATCATTGGTGTATGAAGAAGCATTAATTGAATATAAATTGCTTTGGTATTTTAAAAGTCAACATACTAAATGTAATGTACTTTAGTCAAAACTGTCTATATTTTTAATAGGTTAGTTGGCAGTAGGATTTGCTATTTGGTTATATCCTAACAGGCTGCATTTGAGATATTCCACATATCATAGGAAAAAAAAATGTGTCCTTTACCATAGCAACGATTTGGCTATTTTTTATATACGAGCATATACATCTCCCCACCAATTCATGAAAAATATTCTAGGTTGACCATGATATTCTTTTTATTGAAAAGCAATATAAAACAGCTTTAGACAGAAAAGATAGTATTTTACATTATTTCTTCTGTTATATTTTTATGCTTTGTTCCAGAATTTACTTCCTGCAACTATTCTTGCTTTATCTCGAACAGTTTACTCCATTATTGAATATCTATTAGTGTTTAATATAGAAGAGCTTAATAAACCGCTAATCTGAAAATAATGGTATTCCCTAGATTTTCAGACTTTTTTGCTGAATATGCTTATTTATGTCCAATGTGGAAATCTGATCCTGTTCTCTTCCACTCTGCCAGCAGTTCCTTTTGTACTACTTCTGGTAGTTCATAGAAAACTTGAGGATCAATGTCAGAAGGGAAAGTAATTTTCTCATCAACAGAATCTGGCTCTCTATTTTCTGTAAGTCCTTCATGAGAGTCTGTTGCTACTGTTTGCTTATGGCTATCTGTAGTGTGGTTTTTGGAGAAAAGTTGCTCACTCTGCAAGTTTGGAAATGAATGAAAAGCAGACACAGCAGGGTTTGAATTTGTAAAGTGGAATCCTTGAGGTTCTTTAGGTCCTTGACTCATTCGTTCATCTTTTAATCTATTATCTAAATAATATGAATAATCCTTTTGGCTAGACATATAAGAGGAACTACCGCTATTTAAGCCTGATGTTCCTGGTTCACAAGGAGATACAGAGGATACCTGTTTGTGACTGGATAAATGATCTCTAGGATTTATGGGAATATCTTGCATTTGTTTTTTAGAAAAGAAAGATAATACTCCTCTAGAGGCATGTAATGGACAACTCACACTTCCTTTCCCTTGAAATTTTTCCCTAGATTTTCCAGAAAGGATTTCTTCTTGAATATCTGTTGGAAGCTGCTTAAAGACTTCTTGATCAACACCTTCAGGAAGTGAACAGAGTGGGAATTCATTAATATCTTTTCTTTTAGAAAAATTTGTGGTATCTAGTGGATACTCCCTAGTTCTTGTACTTTCAATTCTTCCACTTGGTAAGAAATCCCGGTTTGTTTCTTTGTCTTTGGGAAAATCTTCCATATGAGTGTCTTTCATTTTCTAGAACACAAGAATAACAGATTAATTTAGATATCTGATATGTTTTAAATATCCTTGCTGCTGCTATGTGCCTGTAGCTATTATCTGACATGTTTCTAACCTACTCAGCAAATTCAACTCTTTGTGGTCTGTTCCAAATAACTAGAGATCTACTACCACAATTAGTCACACTATTGTGTGAATCTTTACCCACTATTCCAGGAAGAGGTTTCCTTCCTAGATAGCACCGAGACAGAGGTAAACATGCATTTGGAGACCTGGGAAGAGTGTAACAATCATGCAGCCAAACTTTCAATTCTATAAATACAAGAGTGGTGGCCTAGAGAACGCAAGTTCACCTAAGGGTATTTTTCAGAAAAACATACACATACAGCATCAAGGGCTAGTTTTCCAAAAATTATTATTCTAAAGGGTAACTTTTAACAAAAAGATAAAAAAGTCTATAACAAAAACCCAACATCATCAAGATATAGTACTAGTTTATATTTATATAAAAATTTAAAGACATTTTCAACTCTAACTTGTGTAATTTTCCTATAGTTTTTCATTTAAATGTCTCCTCTAGTTTTAAGCAGCATAAAAATATAAACATAGTCAAATATAACTCAGTAAACATCAACACAATATGAACTCCAAAAAAGTAAAAGGAGTAGAAAAGATTCAGGCCCTTATATTTATTGAATACCTACTGTGTGACAAATATATACAAGGTACTTTCACTTATATTTACTTCTCTAATGCCACTATAAGTGAGCACTTTTAATTCCAATTTCACCGAATAAAATGTAAACAGAAAACACTTTTTCAAATTTAATAGACGGAATAAAAAGGGTCACAGAAAAAAGTAATTTGAAGACACCATTAATTCACTATTTGCATACACTATACTGTTCTCACTTTAAACTTAAATGAAAATGAAAAGGTTACTAAAATTATACTGACAAAACAAACAAAAAAGTATTTTAAATTGAGTTAATTATAGGCATGAACAATTTAGTAAAAAATAATTATTTTTAAGGTAACCCACATTTACTAAATAGTGGTCTATTAGTAAAGGGGTTTTGTTTTAGTCGTCTGAAAATGTGACTGGCCTCTGCCTTTCTATTGTCACACTGTTAACTTTACAACTGTAAAATCAGTAGTCAATTCTATCAATATCGCTATCAAAATTCACTACTATTTCAAAACCAAGAAAATGTAAATACTTTAACAAAAGAATCGTGGGAAAGGTACTGGTAACTCATGTGTCAGCTAAAAGACAAAAAGATGTGACTTCTAATACCTGAAAATATTTTAATACTTATGAGCTAATCCATCATATTTTTATAGAGCACATATTTTTATAAAATGTGTTAACAATTCCAAAATAGAGAACCTCCATAATGGTTCTTTTATCCAGTGATGCTTATGTTTTCTTCTTAGATCACAGTATATTTAAGGCCAGCAACCATAAGATAGGTATTGTAAACAAGTTAATTACCTAAACAGTATCACCCAAAAGAATCTCTAAACTCTATCAAAAAGACAAGCACTTAGATTTGTAATTTAACCACACAAATCCCATCAGGGTATACTTAGAAAACTGAACAAAAAAGAGTATACTTACAAAACTGTGCTTGCCAGAGCATGAAGTTGTTGATAATGATGGCGTTAAATAATAATCAATAAGCCCTCTCTTAGCAGTATTTACTGCTTTAAGGTTGCAGAAGCACACACTTAGAAGGGTAAGGTGAAATGGCATCTTCACATTCACCATATTTCGAAAAAGTTTCATTAGTATATCAACCATTGGGGTCATCACATCATAATTTCCTAAATAAAATGTTAAGAAGATAATAAACATAATTAATATTAAGAGCATAATATATTTTATATTGCTGAGATTAAGAAATTAAAATCCTAAATAAGTATCACTGGGCATCTTGACATTATATAACAAATTAAGACATTTCAACATTAATACCAAATGGTTAAAATTTTTCAAAAGATTTGAAATCTGGTATTTCTGGTTATAGTACAGTGATATGGTCAGAAAATCCGCTCTCAAAAAGCTACTATAAAACTAAACATTGTCAAAAACAATCATTTTGGTGGAAATCTGGAAATGAACCAAAGGCAAACAAAGTAAGAAGTACTGATTTATGAACAGCTGCTATATGTTAGCTAACAAAGTAGGAGACTTTGTCTGGGACTTCATTGTCTGGGACCGTTCGAATGCCCCTTTACATACCTCAGTTGGTACAGGGTGAAGGCTGCAAAAGTCAGCAGTTTCACTTCTAGAGGAGACAGACCTGATTTGAGGCAGAGGGCAAAAGCCCACACTTAGCAACATTGCCAGTAAAATGAGCAAACTTGATAGGAAATGAATGGGAAGATCCCACAGCTCTGCTAGTCTGAGGCTTTAGTTGTGGTTGGGGTGAATGACAGATCAGTGGACCAGCCAGAAATGTCACCAGGAGATTTGGAATGAGAGAACCAAAGAGGGACTACATAGGCTCCCCTCACAACCTTAGCTGACTAGGAGGCTACATGCAAATAAACGGAAGGCCACAGAGGGCCTAAGCACTCCATACACTCATTGAAAGGGCTACATGCACATCACGGGGAGATAAAGAGGGCCTAGCAGAAATTAAAATTCAAGAAAAACTTGAAAATGGCCTAATTTCTTTTCTTTTATACTTTAAGTTCTGGGGTACATGTGCACAATGTGTAGGTTTGTTACATAGGTATACATGTGCCCTGTTGGTTTGCTGCACCTATCAACTCACCATTTACATTAGGTATTTCTCCTAATGCTATCCCTCCCTCAGCTCCCCACCCCCCAATAGGCCCCGGTGTGTGATGTTCCCCTCCCTGTGTCCATGTGTCCTCATTGTTCAACTCCCACTTATGAGTGAGAACATGTGGTGTTTGGTTTTCTATCCTTGTAATAGTTTTCTGAGAATGATGGTTTCCAGCTTCATTCATGTCCCTGCAAAGAACATGAACTCATCCTTTCTTACGGCTGCATAGTATTCCATAGTGTGTATGTGCCACATTTTCTTTATCCAGTCTATTACTGATGGATATTTGGGTTGGTTCCAAGCCTTTGCTATTGTGAATAGTGCCGCAATAAACATACACGTGCATGTGTCTTTATAGCAGCATGATTTATAATCCTTTGGGTATATACCCAGTAATGGGATGGCTGGGTCAAATGGAATTTCTAGTTCTAGATCCTTGAGGAATCGCTACACTGTCCTCCACAATGGTTGAACTAATTTACACTCCCACCGACAGTGTAAAAGCATTCCTATTTCTCCAGCATCTGTTATTTCCTGACTTTTTAATGATCGGCATTCTAACTGGCATGAGGTGGTATCTCATTGTGGTTTTGATTTGCATTTCTCTAACGACCAGTGATGATGAGCATTTTTTCATGTGTCTGTTGGCTGCATAAATGTCTTCTTTTGGGAAGTGTCTGTTCGTATCCTTGGCCCACTCGTTGATGGGGTTGTTTGCTTTTTTTGGTAAATCTGTTTAACTTTTTTGTAGATTCTGGATATTAGCCCTTTGTCAGATGGATAGATTGCAAAAATTTTCTCCCATTCTGTAGTTTGCCTGTTCACTCTGTTGATAGTTTCTTTTGCTGTGCAGAAGCTCTTTAGTTTAATTAGATTCCATTTGTCAATTTTGGCTTTTGCTGCCATTGCTTTCAGTGTTTTAGTCAATGAGGTCTTTACCCATGCTTATGTCCTGAATGGTATTGTCTAGGTTTTCTTCTAGGGTTTTTATGATTTCAGGTCTAACATTTAAGTCTTTAATCCATCTTGAGTTAAATTTTGTGTAAGGTGTAAGGAAGGGATCCAGTTTTAGCTTTCTACATAAGGCTAGCCAGTTTTCCCAGCACCATTTATTATATAGGGAATCCTTTCCCCATTTCTTGTTTTTGTCAGGTTTGTCAAAGATCATCAGATAGTTGTAGATGTGTGGTTATTTCTGAGGCCTCTGTTCTGTTCCATTGGTCTATACATCTGTTTTGGTACCAGCACCATGCTGTTTTGGTTACTGTAGCCTTGCAGTATAATTTGAAGTAAGGTAGTGTGATGCCTCCAGCTTTGTTCTTTTTGCTTAGGATTTTGTTGGCTATGTGGGCTTTTTTGGTTCCATATGAAATTTAAAGTATTTTTTTCCAGTTCTGTGAAGGAAGTCAGTGGTAGCTTGATGGGGATAGCACTAAATCTATAAATTACTTTGGGCAGTATGGGAAAATGGCCTAAATATTTTAAGTCCTTTCCAACCCATACACTTATCCACTGGCAGAGGCAGACAGCTTCCAGACTGTAGTGTTTGAGCAGAACCTTTGCCAAACATTGGCTAACCATGAAACTATACAGACATGGGCAACTTCCCAGAAGCCAATATTAAAATAAAAATTTGAATTAAAAAAAAAAAAAAAAGAAAGAACACTGAGCAGAGAAATCAGTGGCTACAGAAACCAGGGGAGGTATATTCTGCAGATTACGTTCAGACAAGTTACCTAAAAAAAAGTACAGGAAAGAAAAAAAAAAACCCTACAAGAAAAAATTTTAAATCCACAGTTGCTACAATACATTATCTATGAGGTCTAGTTTTCAATAAATAGTTCAAAACATGCAAAGAAACAGGAAAGTGTGATACATATTTGGGGGAAAAAGCAGTTAACATAAATTGACTTTGAGGTGGACTTAGCAAAGACTTCAAATTCATTATTATAGATATGTCCAAAGAATTAAAGACAACCATGTTTAAAGAATTAAAGCAAAATATAATGAGTACAAAAAAAGGAGAATCTCGATAAAGAAACAAAACCAAACATAAAAACAAAAGACAAACAGAAATTCTAGAGTTAAAAAGTACAGTAACCAAAACCAACAAATCACTACAGGGGCAATGGCAGTTATGAGATACAGATGAATCAGAGACCTTAAAGGCAGCTCAATACAGATTATCTACTTTGTAAGAAAGAACAGAAAAAAAAGATTGCAGAAAAATAAACAGAGCAGCAGAGACCATCATAGGGTGGAATCGGTGTAAGGATAAACATATAGACCAATGAAACAAGAAAGTCAGGAAATAAACTCTTATATTTATGGTCAATTAATTTTTGACAAAGATGCCATGGTAAGTCAGTGGGTGAAGAAAAATCTTCAACAAATGATGCAGGAACAACTGGATACTCACATGCAAAGCAAAGAATTAAGTCCCTTACCATATACCACACATAAAAAATTAACTCAAAATGGACATAAACATGAAGCTTAAAAACTATAAAACTTCTAACAGAAAACAGAATATGTGACCTCTGAGTTAGGCAAAGAATTTTTATATATAACACCAAAAACACTATCCATAAAAGAAAAACCACACTACTATATACCGCTAGAACAACTATAATCAAAGAGACTGACAATACAAATATTGGCAAAAATATGAAAAACTGGAACCTTCATATATTGTTGATGAAAATGTAAATTATTACATGAACTTTGGAAAAAGTTGGCAGTTTCTTAAACAGTTCATGTTCCCATATGATCCAGCAATTCCACTCCTTAAAATCTATCCAAGATAAAGGAAAACATATGCATATGCCCATCCAATGACTTGCATTTAAATGTTCTTCCAAATGGAAACAATCTAAATGCCCAGAAAGACTCATGCTATCAGTTATCACAGTTTTGTTCTCTTTGAACTTGGAAAACATTCTTAAATGACTCTTTACTTATCTATTTAAAAACCAGGCCAGGTGCAGTGGTTCATGCCCATAATCCCAGCACTGTGGGAGGCTGAGGCAGAAAGATTGCTTGAGCTCAGGAGTTTGAGACCTTGTCTATCCTAAATGTCAAAAAAAGTTAGCCAGGTCTGGTAGCATGCACCTATGGTCCCAGCTACCCGGGAGGCTGGGGTAGAAGAATTGTTTGAGCCAGGGAGACGAAGGCTGCAGTGAGCTATCACAGCACCACTGCACTTCAGCCTTGGTGCAGAGCAAGACCCTGTCTCAAAAAATAAATAAATAAATAAATAAACAAACAACAAAGTTTTCTGGTGAAAATTCCTGATAGAATAAAAGCATCTAATTGCTTGCTAATTCCCTGTGAAGACCCTCCATTTTTGGAGCATATTTCTAGTTCAAAGTTGGCTTGTTTAAGAGTTCAACCTGCTAATGAAACTGTTGGAAAACTAGTCCATACCTGTCCCTAACTTCTGAATTACATGTGATGGAATAGGGCACTGACGACTCTCACGACCACAGTGCTTCTCAGAGGGATACCGACGGATTATTAATCTTACTGTATGAGGCTTCCTTCCATCTTGGCATACTCTAAAAATAAAGAGAAAGTGGAAATAAGGAATTAGAAAAGGATTACCTTTTTAAATTATGTAACACCTCATTTATCTAAAGGTGCGAGATTTTGTTAAATATAACAATTATACATATAGTAGATAACAAAATAGTAAGTAATAAAGGTCCCTGAGTATCCAAATAATCATCGCAAAGTCTATGCACTAAAACTCTGAATGTTTAGATGTCAAGCTCTCAGGCCTCACTCAGAATTGAGTGCTGTCAGAAATAGAAGAGCTATAAGATATAATCAAAACAAGTTGTTTTATAATACAAATCCAAAACAAAACTAAAAGCAACCAATTTTTTTTTTCAAGATGGAGTCTCGCTCTGTTGCCCAGGCTGGAGTGTGGTGGCACAATCTCAGCTCACTGCAACCTCCACTTCCCAGGTTCAAGCAGTTTTCCTGCCTCAACCTCCTGAGTAGCTGGGACTACAGGCACGTGTGACCACACCTGGCTAATTTTTGTATTTTTAGTAGAGAGGTGGTTTTGCCATGTTGGCCAGGCTGCTCTCGAACTCCTGACCTCAGGCGATCCCCCACCTCAGCCTCCCAAAATGCTGGGATTACAGACGTAAGTCACCACACCTAGCCAAAAGGCAGCAAATTAAAATCAGCAGGAAATTTAAGAAACTGAATCATTCACTAACAAAAGCAAGTAAGTGAAAAATAACAAAATAACTTTTTTCAAACTTTTTTCTTATGAGATTACCAAAAAAAAGATTTTTTTTTTACAAAATGAGATTACTTTTGTTAAAGAGTAATCACTATTACCATTATATGATAGCTTATTAGAGCAATATCTTCAAAGATCATGTGCTATATTTAGTATATAATTAATATACAATATGTGCACATGCATTTTTAAAAAGAGTTTCATCCAATTGTCTTGGTTTCGGTATTGAAACAAAGGTTTTAATTATATGACAAATTCACTTAAGAAGTACAAAACCTAATTAATGGAAAAAAAGTCATTAAAGGATAACATTTCCCCTTTTATACACATGGCAATGCATATAAAACCAAATCTCAGACATAAAATGCAAATATTGCATATTGTTAAACACACTCAACTTGAAGATTCTGATCTGAAAAAAACAGTTTTGGGCCAGGCACGGTGGCTTATACCTGTAATCTCAACACTTTGGGAAGTTCAGGTAGGAGGATCACTTGAGCCCAGGAGTTCAAGACCAGTCTGGGCAACATAGCGAGACCTCATCTACAAAAATTTAAAAATTAGCTAGGCTTTATGGCAGGTGCTTTCCCAGCTATTCTGGAGGCTGAGGTGGGAGGACGGCTTGAGCCCAGGAGGCTGAGGCTGCAGTGAGCCATGATTGCACTATTGCATTCCAGCCTGGGTGACAGAGCAAGACCCTATCGCAAAAAAATAAAAAATAAAATAGTTCTGTATTAAATAAATTTTTTCTATCTCTTATTGCTTTGTGACAAAACTTCTCGATGGCTGCTTAACTAGGATAATAAAATACCTTAAATGGCTACTAGTTTAAATATCTTCCAGTTAAACGTGTTCTATTAATTATGCAATTCAAAGAGTATGATATGCTAATTAAGACACATTAGAAAAAGGCTGAATCATAAGCAATATTAAACTAGTGCCTAGAGGATGGATTAAAAATAATATGGTTTTTACATTTCTTACATACCTATATTATTAATCATAACATACTCTAGAGAAAACAAAAGTAATTATACACAAATACACACACACACTCCTGTAATTTTTTTTTTTTGCAAGTCACTTAGATGGTGTTATAATTCAGTCACTGAAATAAGGGCCCGTGGTGTGGGAGAAAAGGAGCTGGCAAGCAGAGATACAGATAAATGGTTAATTTCACAGGTTTTGTATTTCACAGGTTTAGAGCACCTGGTCTCACTTCTGGGTTGACTCTTCAAGTAAGAGAACCTGTAAAACTTATACTTCTTGCGGTTTTTCTACGTGAAGAACTGTCTCCAAATGTTAGGCATTTCAGAGTAGTCTTCTATTTAGCTGAAGCAAATGACCCAGTTTCACTAGCATACGCGCAGGCCCAGCCTGAGTCATATCACTGAAGCCCAGTCATACAGCCAGCCCCAGCTGCATGCAGCCAACAATGAGCTACATGGCTCTGCTCAAGACATTTGAGCGCCACGTTGCATGCAACAGCAAAGTTTGAGGAAATTTCACTTCATCAGTTTTCTCAGACTTAGAACCATCCAAAAACCATTTTCTCTAAATACAGTTAGTCCTCCTAGAATCATTAGAGAAGCACACCCACTCTAAACTGTTAGAGCCCTGAAACCACAATTTGAGAAGTTTCTAACAAGAAAAGCAGAAACAAAGAATGGGAAGAAAACAGATACTACTTGTTTGTGGAATATGGAATATTGAGAAATACATGTATAATGACAAGGAGCACCACAAAATTAAATTTCCTTTTCAGTTTATCTTGTGCTACTCATATATTTATAACCCCAGGTGATACTCTTCACATACAGATCAGAAACCCTGCACACACCTGCAGTCACTCACCCTGCTCACACATAGCCCCAGCCAGCCATTCTTTCCTTCGACTCTATTTTATTTTACAGTCTGAGGCAAAAGAGATACAAGGGTTCTTCTGCTTCTTCCTTCACTGTTACTTTAATAATTTCCTATCCCCAACAATCACAAATTTATATAGCTGTTCCTGTATCAGGAGTTTTAGAATTATGACAGTATTATTCCTCTTTGCATTTTTTTCTTCTTAATGAAATGCAAGTAACTATTAGCAGAGATAAATGGTTAATTTCACACGTTTTGTATTTCGCATGTATTTGTATTTAGCATGGTACTAACTTAATGAAATTCAAGTAACTATTAGGTTGAGGGCAAAGGCTTTGCAATTGCCACAGGGAAAAATTAAAACTTCTTCTTCTCACCTGAAGGCTAGAGTAAGTCTAAGAATGTTAGAAATATCCATAAAACCCCTTTAGGTAACCATCTGCAGCTTTAGATCCATAGGACAACCACACTGTTACTAGAATTAAGACCAATGAATTAAATTTAGGTAAGAGCCCCTATTACCATCTTTACAATAGTTTATAATGCAGAGAAATCACATGATAAATTATTTTTACATTGTTTACTCTCCAGATAATCTGTCAGTTCCAAGATGGAACATCAAATATTCTTTCTATATACCGTATATAGAATGAATATATAGGATGACTTGGCAAAATGGATTGAAAATCACCTGTTTAAAAGACTAGCAAGTAGTTCTTCAATCTTATTTTTAGCTTCAACTTCGGATGAACATTTTTTAAATGAATCTTCTTCACTAAAGGACTATCAAAGAAGCATAAATAAGGATTAGTGCAAACTCTAAGAATTATATCTAATTATTATCAGTGTATAGTCAAATAAATATTCAATACATTCTTTACTAACTTACCTCTTGTCCTTAGTTTCAGCCATTTAGTTCACTTTTATATTAACTGTTTTTTATCTGCAAGCTACTGTACTCACTAGAAAGTTAATATCAAATATTACTAAATTAACAGTTAATATAAAACAGTTAATAAAAAATAATTCAAAGTTAAGAAAACTCTAAAGCTCTAGTACCAACTCCAAGCTTTATTGTATGATTATGGCAAGACTTCTTAATCACCTAGGACTTGAATCTAAGTTTATCCTTGGACAAACTTAGACTTATATCCTTGGACTATATCCTTGGACCAGTACATGGTCCTCAAGTTATTTAACCTTTCTAAAGTACAGTATCCTCATCTTGAGAGAGAATGGAAGGAAGGAAGGAAAGAAGAAAGGTAAGAAAGAATGGACAAACAACAGTACTACCTACCTTGATGCTTCCTTGTGAAGATTAAATGGACTAATGTATTTCAAGCACTCAGGAAAGTGCTTGTCCCATAGCAAAAAAATCAGTCAATGTTAATTGGGTGATTATACCTTTCCCATTTGCTAAATCACTGGACTACTCTGAAAACAAGATTTTTAAAAGATTAAAATATTTTGCCTCATATATGCATTATAGGCTATTAAGTTGCACTGTCTTCAATCATAGTAGCTAACTTAAGATATCAAAATATCAATGCTTAAGATTCAATTTAAGAATACTTATTAATCCAACCTATTAATAATAAATCAGCCTTCTAATAGGAAAGAGATCACATACTAAGCAAACTAGAATAGTAAGAACATGGTACTGTAACTAGAAATCTTTATCTCAAATAATGTGATAACCAGTACTTAATTAAAATAAATATCATCGTGTACCTGAGGTGGTCCTGAGGGTATCACAGGGGAGTTATCCTCTCCAAAACTCAGCTTCTGGATACGCTGAGCAAGTGAAATTCCTAATTCTTTTTCTAAAATTTTGGATGAAAAGGTTTGGAGATCATGCACACTATTGATACCCAGTGCTTCAAGACATTTGGCAGTTTTATAGCCAATACCTAAATAAAAAGAAGTGCATACAAAGTTAAAAATAGCTTTTCTCCTTAAAACAAAGCGAATTAAAATATTATAAATATATCAATCATATCTTTAAATTCTATAATTTACACAGTAGTCCCCCCTTATCCACAGGGGATACATTCTAAGACCTTCAGTGGATACCTGAAACCATGGACAGTATCAAACCCTATATATATACAGTACTGTTTTTTCCATTACATATATACCTATGATAAAGTTTAATTTATAAATTAGGCACAATAAGAGGTTAACAATAATAATAAAATAGAACTACAACAATTACTATATACAAGTTATGTGAATGTGGTCTCTGCCTCCCTCTCTCAAAATATCTTAGTATTTTCAAACCACAGTTGACTGCAGGTAACAGAAATTGTGAAAAGTGAAACTGCAGATAACGGGGGACTACTGTATTTTGCAAAGATCAAACTCCATTGCAAACTAGGTTGCTGTTCTTCCACTCAGGGCTCCTGAATTATATGCATCTCTTTGAAGTCCTCACAAAATGCAGTAAAACAAAATGAATACAGAGACAGTCAATAAATGCTGTCTTACTAAAACAAAAATTTTACTACCTGTTATGTAAAATTCCAGAAATATTCAGAAATCATGATTATTATTAATGTACAAAAAGGCTGCCACTAGAGCAATTAAAATGAATTAAGTGTACATATTAGGTAAACTAACTGGTTCCTATATGCACCACCATATATTTATCCATAAGTCATATCTAACATTTACCATCCAGAATACAGCTATGAGATAGAAAGCAAACAAACAAAAAATCTTGCTAGCAAAACTGTCACAAAGTTCTTGCACTAAAATTCAGTCATACTTTATCCACAAGAGAAAACACTCAGGCCATTTAGTGTCTCCTTATTCTTTTCATTTAAAAATAATAATTCCACAGTTATCTGATTTTCTTGCACAGGAAAAGCCTAAGTTGGAGGAGATGGCTGTGTAGGGGGAATTATGAGAGTGACAGATTTTTCACGCAAAAATAAAAGATGGCTGGCAATTTGGAAATAAGTGAGAAAGCAGAAAGCCTGTTTAAAAAAAAAAAAAAAAAGATACAAGAACTCAAAAGTAAAGCCAAGTAATAATGTTTTGCACCAGTATATAGTCCTCAATTTATTACAACCTGACATTGTTCTTCAGAAGGCAGAACCAAAGTCATCCACAAAATTTCAAATTATAGTTGTACTATACTAAGGAAGGCAAGGCAGTGTATAATACATTTTGGAATCATACAAGTATCAGTTAAAAATGTGAAGTTTGACATCTAAGTTTCAGAGGTATTAGAAATTCACTTCCACAGAACTCTTTTATAACATCTTATTCCCCAGCAATACCACAGAAATGTAGTTCAACATATCCATTATCAACGGTCTATAAAAACTTGGGTATTTGATCTGCAAAGAAACAAACTTGCACCATGACCTAAATAGGTCACCAAACTCCTCATGGAAATCAGTTTCCTCATCTTTAAACTGAGGAACTTGGCCTAGATGTTTTGGAAAGTCCATTGTAGCCTTAATATTTTATATATAATCCCAAAAGAGACTTAGGAAAAGACAAACTCCCCTCTCTAGAGGCAATGTACAGTATAAGAGTATGACCCAGGGACTGGAAATAAAGACCATATGTTTCTAGGCTATAACTTTTATGACCATATTCTAACCATCCAAAGTAGATAAAATAAGAAAGGTACTTTCACATATTTCTTAATCCAAATTTGCTTCAGAAAACATTATGGTTTTTGTTAGTTTTTTCCAGGAACCAAGTATACACACACATACATGCACACACTCACATACACCTCTACCTAAGAATTAATTACACTGTACCTATAATTTTAAAATTAAAGAAATATAATAAGACATATATGTACTTTTCAAAGATATCTGTCTTACCAGGTATTTCCTTTATGTGATTCAAACTAAGAATAAGATGCTGACAACTTTCCGGTAATAAGACTGTTTGTTGATTTGGTTTAAAGACACCAGAAACTAATTTTGCCAACAGTTTATTAGAAGCCACTCCAGCACAGCCAGTGAGCCCCAAGTGATTATACATGGCTTCCCGCATCTCTGCTGCAATCTGAGATCCAATAAGTAGTCTGATGTGCAAGATGTCATGCAGGTTTATAGCTTTAAAAACAACAAATGTCATTCAAAGTCACAAGAAAAAAACTTTAAAATTTTGTTTTTTACAAAATAATTTTTAAAAGGTAGAAGGCTTAGTCTATATCCAACCACCACCACCACCACCACCACCACCACCACCACCACCACCACCTGGTATGGTTGCAATGTTTGTCCCCTCCAAACCTCATGTTGTAATTTGATCCCTAATGTTGGAGGTGGGGTCAAATGGGAGGTGTTGGGATCACAGGGGTGGATCCCTCATGAACAGATTAATGCCCTCCCTCCTGGATGAGTAAGTTTCTCACTGTATTAGCTCCAGAGACAGCTGGTTGTTAAAAGAGCCTGGTACCTCCCCCAGCCCTTGCTTCCTCTCTCACCATGTGATCTCTGTACACACTGGCTCCCCTTTGCCTTCCACCATGAGGCGAAACAGCCTGAGACCCTCACCAGATGCAGAGGCCTAATCTTGACTTTTCCAGCCACAAGAATCATGAACCAAATGAACCTTTTTTTCTTTGTAAATTACCGAGTCTCAGGTATTCTGTTAAAGCAACACTAAATGGACTAAGAGACCACTGCCACCCTGTTATCCACTTGACTAATCTCTTTCACGCTTCATAGGAATACTGTAAACAAATTCAATAAGCAAATTCCAACAGCCTGTGATAGTGACTGTATACTGGGAGTGCTTAATAATTAACACATTATGAAAACTGATCTCATAAAAACATTCCTACTGACATTAACAAAACTTTTACTCATATTTACCTGTAAGTAAGCATAAAAGTACTATTATATAACAAGAAAGCTAACATTATGCTTTAAAGATCTAAATCTTAACCATGCACTAACTATATATGCTGCTGAAAACAATCTCTGACCTGTACATAGTTTTAGAGCTCTTTTATGAAAAGTGTAAGAAAATTATATAAAACTAAATTTGCTTTAGGTGTTAAACAGTGTTGGAATTACATGAAACCATCCTAACCTCAAAGAGATTCACACTAAAAGTATTTAGAGATGAAATGTCAGGATGTCTGCCATTTGCTTCCAAATAGCTCATCAACCAACGAAGCGATCCATAAAGAGGACAAGAGAAAGCAAATGTGGCAAAATAACAACTAGTTTATCTACAAGAAAGGACATAATGAGCTGGGCACAGTGGCTCACGCCTGTAATCCCAGCACTTTGTTTGGGAGGCCAAGGCAAGCAGATCACCTGAGGTTAGGAGTTCAAGACCAGCCTGGCCAACATGGTGAAACCCCATCTCTACTACAAATTAAAAAATTAGCCAGTGTGGTGGCACGTGCCTGTAGTCCCAGCTAGTTGGGAGGCTGAGGCAGGAGAACTGCTTGAACCCAGGAGGTGGAGGTTGCAGTGAGCCAAGATTGTACCACTGCACTCTGGCCTGGGCGACGGAGTGAGACTCTGTCTCAAAAAAAAAAAAAAAAAGGACATAATGGGTATTTGTTATACTATTCTGTCAACTTTCCTGTAGGTTTGAAAAAAATTTTAATAAAATCTATGTGAAAGATGAAGAATTAATCAATAATTCCACATTTCCTTTTTGGGATATAAAACCTAGCTCTCTACAATGTACTCTAACCAATAAAATCTAAGTTTGCTTTAAAAATTATATAGAAATATATCTGAAATACTCTTGCTACTTAGCCCTTGTAAGTTACAAATGAGCACAAGTACAAAAGATACATGAAAAGCTCCATGTATTATAGAAACTGTAGTTTTACTGCTTTTCTTCTGTGGAGAACTATTCTGTAGACTGATGTCTAGTTCTCAAAAAAGAGGATAAGAGGAAATGCATGGGGAGGCTTAAGAGCAAAAGGGTCAGACAAGTCTTACACAACAGCAGAGTAACTTGTCTTGTATGTGGTATGATAAGGGAGTCACCAGCAGAGTCATAAGATGTCTGAAAGCCTAATTAGATATTCACTGGTGCTTACTACAGCTTATTTTCAAACGTAAACATCCCTGGAAACACCATCAGTCATTCATATCTTAATACATGAAGGAGACAAACCATTCTGCTTTCTTGCTAACTTTGACAAAGATTATTTATAAATAAACAGATTAAACAGGAGCTTAGAGAAGATTCTGGCACATGGCAGATAAGCCTGGACAACATTCCAAAAGTGCTAACTTGGGAAGTCAGAGAGCAACATGAGGGTCTCAGGGGAATTGAAGGGAACATGTAAAAGACACATCAAAGGCAAATCTAGCCTACCTGAAAATTCTGCTTAGAGACTGTCTTAGAATAATCAAAAATTATTCCAAAAAGCATATTAAGAAGCCAACTCTTGCAACTTAAGAATGACCTAAAGAGGTATGGCTTTTTGTTTCTTTAAGAGATGGGATCTTGCTCTGCTGCCCAGGCTGGACTCAAACTCCTGGGTTCAAGCAATCCTCTCAGCTCAATCTCCTAAACAGCTGGGACTACAGGGGCGATCCACTGTGCCCAGCTGGGTATAGCTTTCTAAAATGGGAACAGATGCACTGTGTCAGACGAAAACTCTGCGCAGATGAATGCTCTGTGCAGATGAACAGGAACAAAGGTCTGTGCAAATGAAAAGTGCACAGAGCATTGAGCTACATGTCATCAAAATCTTAATACTTATTATGGAATAGCAACACCTAATTTTAGCTGTTCTAGACAGGGTACTGGCTAAATATAACTCTACCTCCAACAAAAGTCATGAAACTTTCAGAATCACACAGCAAATTCACTGAACATTAAGAAATGTATGTACTTTTAGTTAGTAGGTAGAATCAATAAGAACCCACTCACACTGATTATTGTACACATGACCCGACACAGTCACCGCAGAAAGTTCGTCACTTTGCAGCTGCTGTAGTCTCTTCTCAACCATTTCTGTTAGATCCACAAAATTTTCATCAAATCCAAGTCTCTCAACAACTGGACTAAATTCTTCCAGTAATTCTAAATTGAAATAATATTGGAGCACAGATGTAAATGAAGTTATAACTAGGATAAATTTAACTATCTAGTGCTTAAAACTATATCAAATTTATTGTTAAAGGTTTTATATACATTCATAGTTCCATAATATCTTTAATAAAGCCCTCAGTTAACTGACTTTTTTTCTGTACCACATCTTGAGTAGAGGCAATATTTTCCAAAAAGTCTAAAAATGGCATTCCTAGGGCAGTTATTCATGGCAATATATTTAGCTCAATCTTCTACACCTATAATGTTTGTATCTGTAGTACATTAAATATCAATGCTTACAGTAAATTGGTGATCTTGAAGAAGTGTGTCAAAGAATAAACTATAGGCTGCTCAGGAAAGTTAAAAACAAGTAATGGTATATTTTAGCTATATTTTCCCCAAGAGTTTAAAAGAGGCAAAACAAAATAACATTAAAAATTTCCAGTTATTACTGAAGAAAACAGAAAGTCAGTCAACTTTCAAAATATACTATAACACGGTATTTTTATTAGCCCAAGCATATTCCTTAGGACAGAGAGGCAGAGATGAACCACAACTTACAGGTATTCAAATGCCCATCATCTAGCACAATTATCTAGTCCTTAGGTCAAAAGTTTACTAAACTGAGCTAAACCAATATTCAAATTAAATTCAAAAAAACTATCAATTTTCATATATTAACATTGAGACTAACAACTTAAAAATCATTGAGAAAGTTTTTCACTTCCCTCTGAATCACCTTCTACTGACACCAGCTGGATAAGAGAAAACAAATGCAAGTCTCTTAGTATACAAAAATGCACAGATTCTTAAGGTCATATAATCTGAAGCTCAGAAATAAAAGGACTATGTCATTCCACATAGATCACGTTTTTTCACAAATACCAAAAGTGCTTTTTTTTGTTGATATCAACATTGACAATGTAAGGGGAAACCAATAAAGATAACAACGTGACACAGTAAACACCAAAAATCACTCCTGAGAAAACTATTACCTAGAGAAAACTATTACCTCCTTTCAGGACAGACGGACAATATGTCTGATCATAGAAAATCATTATTTTGCATTTCCTTCATCAATTTCTGCAATTTATTTTCTAAAGTATATACCTGATATGCAAAGTAACTTGTAGAAAACAAAAGAGTTTATCAAAAGAATGCTACATAAGAAAAATAAAGGATAAGTTTTTAAGTACTAAATAGAAAAACAAGTTAAATACAGAATCATGCACGAAGCTGGCGGATCACTAAGTACTGACTGATTTTAGGTCACAGGACAAATCCCTAATTATTCCATTCCTGAAGGTTTTTGTTGCTGCTGTAGTTTTAATGAGACAGGGTCTCACTCTGTTGCCCATGCTGGAGTGGAGTAGCACACCACAGCTCACTACAGCCTTTACTTCCTGGGCCCAAGCAATCCTCCTACCTCAGCCTCTGGGACTACAGGCACATGCTAACCACCCAGCTAACTTTTTTTTTGTTTGTTTATTTTTGTAGAGGCAGGGTCTTGCTATGTTATGCTGCCCATGCTGGCCTCACATGATCCCCCCACCACAGTCTCTCAAAGTGTTGGGATTACAGGCATAAGCCACCATGCCCAGCCTCCATTGTAACCTCTTTCTTGGTATCAACTTCATAAGCAAGATACATTTATTAAACATATATAGGGCCCAAAAGAGGAGTTTGTAATTAAAGGAAAAAAACTACCTTGAAGAAAGGTATATATGCAGTAGCATAAAAATATGAAATAAATAATAAGGTTATATATTATAAACAGGTCAGAGATAAATACAGTAAGGGCCTACATTGGCTATGTTCCTACTTCAACTCAGAAAAATACTGTGAGAAAAATTGATAAAATAACTTTTTTTAAAAAAAACTTTTTTCAAAAAAAAATGACACAAAAAGTACCAAGTACTTAGAAAAAGATGAACAACCCAAATAAAAAACAGGTGCAAGTGAATAGGTTAACAGAAAAGATACATAAATGACCAAAAATATATAAAAAAAAATGCTCAACCTTACTCATGGAAAACTGCAAATCGAAACAATGATTTACTCTTCTTCGACTATGAAGCAAAGCTTTTTAAATCTAACACTCTCGTATATACTAGCAATATGTTGCGGCAATCTCAAATGTAACATATCCAAACATTTAAATGCAAATCATGTTTGATCCAACAATTCACCTCTAGGAACTTACCTTATGGAAATCCTCTTAAAAGTATGCCAACATTTCTATACGAAAATGTCTAAGAGCAAAAATCTGGTAACAGCCTAATAATCCATCACTACGCAGGGAAACCATATAAATTACCATCCAAAACAAGACTTTTTTTTAGTGAAAGAAGGTGCAATTACTAATCATGTAGCAACAACAGGCATAAAGTTGGACGTACTGTCTTCGTATCACTGAAGAACTGGTTAAATAAATACGGACTAAATACAATGAAATACTGTGCAGGCATTAAAGAGAGTGAGGAAGATCTCTGTGAATGACACGGAAGATCATTAAGCTCAAAGGCAAGCTACAGAATTGTATGTATTATACAATCACTTCTGTGTACACTAAAACTCAAGTTTTTATTTTTTCTCCACAGGGAAAGTTCTAAAAACTAAAGTTTTAATATTTAGACACAATTTTGCATAATAAAAGCAGTGATATCCGGGAGTATAATCTTGTCTTTTCTGCTTCACTATCCCTTCTTCTTTCCTCCCATTTCAGCACTACGCCTTTCCCACCACAAGTTAACCAATGTTAAAAACCTGTAATATACCCTCTAATGTTTCTCTTCTTGTTCATATGTAGACATACACATATATATGAGAGGAGGCATTTAGGCCATCATTTTACACATTTGGAAAAACATGATACATCATTTTGTACCTTGCCTTTTATTCACTCATCAAAGCCTATCTCCATCAGTCAAATAGTATTGCACCAATGCATTCTTTTTAATGGCTATATAATATCCATCATACAGATGTCTTAGTTTATTTGGCTATTCCTCTTGATGGACATTTTTCCTTCCATATATTTGACAATCATAAACCATGCTACGATAAATATTGCTGTACATATGTCTTTATGTACTTGTGGTTCTCCTTTTTTTAGAGACAAGAGTCTCACTCTGTCATGCACACGCAGGCTGGAATGCAGTGACACAATCATGGCTCACTGCAACCTCGAGCTCCTGGGCTGAAGCAATCCTCCTACCTCAGCATCCAAAAGTGCTGGGATTACAGGTATGAGTCACAATGCCCAGTCTCATGATTTTATTTCTATTTGATAAACTCCCAGCAATGATCTCACTGGATGGAAGAACATTTATCTTTAAACTCAGTAAGTGTTCTTGATACTTTTTCTCACATTCCTTTTAATTTTGGGTAAGTATGATGGATATAAAATATCTTACTAATTCAAATTTCCTTGGCCACTAATGAATTTGAGTATTTTTTCCTTATAATTGTTAGACACTGGGTTAAGTTCTTCTTGTCAACTGCCTATTCATATTCTTCATCCTTTTTTATTAGGTTTCTTTTTCCTGTTAATTTCTAAGAGCTCTTTGTATATTATAGACATTTAACCCAGTCATCTGAAAATTGCTGTGATAAAAGAAAAACAAAAAAAAGTAAAAAAGACAAATAATTGCAAAGCTGATCATTATGCATTTTTACACTATATATTAAGTAATTAAGGTTTTTGCAATTAAAAGTAATTGTGAAAGCCACAATTACTTTTGCACCAATCTACTATATTTGCAATGTGCCAGTGCACACTCATTTTTGTTTTTCCTGTAATTTACTATAACACTAAGATTTAAATCCAAACCTTAGCATGGGAAAGTTTAGCTACATTGTAATATTTAGTATATATATAAAACCTGAGAAAATATGAATATATCCAATATTTTTATTACTATTTCATAAATCAATTTTTAATTATGCTGATCAAAAGTTACAGAAGCCTCTTTCAATTATCATGAATGCATTAGAAAACAACATTATTTCTTCATAATTCATTTAAACTTAAAATTTTAAAGACCTGGCATCTTTTACAGTACAGTTTCCCATTTTCTCACTTTTAAACTTTGTTTTCCATTTTTCCCTGTTATATAAACATCAATCATAACAGAGTTAAAATTTCTTCCAACTATACATCTTCTTAAAAATACTATTCACAGCATACAGTTATCCTTTTACATAATTTTTAAAGTTGACAAGACCCAAAATAAGAAGTTATTAGGAAAAAGCATCTTATGTTATTTTTACATTTACTAAAAAATTCATGTAATGAACAGGCATCCTACATAAAAATTAATGCTAAAAGTATATTGCTTATCATTTGTACCTGTAACCTTATAAGACATTTCTCTGTAGCGGGTCAGGTCTTCTCCATTAACTAATACCAGCTGTGGACACTTTTCTTTTGCATCTCTGACGTTCATAAGTTTCTTAACTCCAAGTTTCCTAGCTTCATAGTTGCAGGTAACCACCAAATATTTCTGTTGAACCCCTATAAAAATATTTTAGGAGAAACTCAAGCACAATTGAAGAAACATTTAAAGACATTATTAATTCCATATTACATTTGTCTAAGTTGTAAGACAGTTTTGATAAGAAGCAAAAGCCCTGTCTCAAAAAACACAGCCTCCTTAAATCAAATTTCTATAATGCAGAAACATTAGGTTTTCAAGCTGTCTCCTAATTATGAATTATAATATACCAATGTATTATTTTTCCATACCCCACTTTTAATCTCTGGTTGTTTTGTCTCCTTGAAGAAGGAAAGTTATTATTAAATAACAAAACACTGAATAACACAGAATTACAAGTTAGATCAATTATTCATATACAAAAGGCAATCTGTGTATTACATTTCTCAAATTTAGTAAAAATGAACCTAAATCGATATATTCTATGGAATCTTCAGTGATAACATACAAACCAAATCTCTCTAGGATTTTTTTTCCAGACAATATAAAAGCAGATTAATTTATATTGCCATATAATAGGGCATGTTCTACCAAAAAAAAAAACCAGATGAAAATAATTGGGTACAACTAAATACTGGTTGCTGCTAGAAAAACTCAACTTCTCTTCTGGGTAATTTGCTAATATAAAGCAATATAAAATATAATATGTACATAAAATATATAAAACAAGTGCCGGGCTACAGCAATTTTTAGGGATCTAATAGTTACTTACTACTTATTGAACTGTTCTATCAAAAATGATTAAATAATCATTTATTTACAGACTGCATAAAAAGTTCTAGTTTATTGGTGACTCAAGAGTGCTAAAAATTATTTGCTCTTCTCTTTTTATACAAGTTTACTACTTGCTTACCACTGTAAGAGTAATGTTCACCTAAAATACGTAAAATACAAACATGTAGAAAAAAAGGTTATGTCCATTTCTCTGTTAAGACATTGTTTCTAAAATTTTGATGTAATAAACAAGGCAAAGAAATGTTATTTTTATATAAAGTTTTTTAATATATCAGGTAATGCCCAAAATATAATCATGGAACCAAAGGTAGTAGTAATTTTAGACTCCACAGTGAACTATTTAAAAAAATCAGATTGGTAGATTTCTTAACTAAAAAAGGAGTTTTTTAATAGAGCATTACATTATATGGCCTCATCACTGCATGTCACCAGCCTGAGTTTGTCATATATTTGTTGAGTATAAATGAAAGACTACTGGTCGGGAACGGTGACTCTCGCCTGTAGTCCCAGCACTTTGGGAGGCCAAGGCAGGTGGATTGCCTGAGTTCAGGAGTACGAGACCACCCAGGGCAACACGGTAAAACCCCGTCTCTACTGAAAACACGAAAAAATTAACCGAGTGTGGTGGCGCACACCTCTAGTCCCAGCTACTTGGAAGACTGAGATAGGACAATCACCTGAGACCCAGAGGCAAAGGCTGCAGTGAGCCAAGATCGCACGACTGCATTCCAGCTTGGGCTGGAGTGAGAACCCATCTCAACAACAACAACAACAAAAAATGAAAGACTACTTTAGTTTTCCCCAAAAAACGCGGAGCATTCACATCCCTCACTTCCCAATAATCATTCATTCGTACTTAATTACACTTTTTTTTATTAAGCATTATCCACAGAACATCTTATATCACAGTGCTACTACTTAGAAATGCCTTCAGGAGAAAAAACTTAAGGCCCATGATTCTAACTTCTTGGCAACCTTTAGGAAGGTTTTAAGATCCTAGACTCACCTTGGCATAGCAAAAACTAGTCACCCCTTTGTTCTTCAGTAAAGCAGCTATGCTGGATTGGGATTTATTAAGCCAAAGTGGGCACAAGAGGGTAGCAGCAAGTGAAGCAAAACTGTTCTTTATGCTTATACTAAAGGAAGAATCTTTCCTGCATGCATGAAAATCTCTTTATCTTTCTCAATTTAAAATATGAATAATAAAAATGATAAAACAAGTCAGTATATCAACAATATCCAATATAAAATTTATTTTGGCTTTTATTTAAAAAGCTGCTTATGTTTTTATGGAAAGTTTGCTGTCTTAGTAAAACTAAGGTTTATGTTCAAAATCCAACTAGTTTGTTAGACGTTACACAATTTAAGAGTCAATTTCAGAAAGGGAAGGACAGATGAACACTTCCACTAAAATGTAATAAGAGGTTGTTTTTTGAGAGGAAAGCCTGTAAAATTTCAAATACTGAGAAAAAGAAATCTGCCCAGCAAACTAAGCTACTAACCAGCAGAGAAAAGTAAAATTTATTCCGCTTTCTCTTCATTTGTTCTGCCAACTACACTATTCTCAGATTCACCACTTATTAAATGAGGCTTGTAAAATTTACACTTGGTAGTGAAGCAAAAATGACCAGCTATAAAGCACTGTAAGAACTGCTTCCAAAATCTTTCTTAATAAGGTTAATAAATCAGTATATAGTGAGCATGAGTTGCTAATCTAATCACTATGCAATAAAAATATTATAAATGTACAATTACCTAAAGGTTTGTCTTTTAGCTCTGGATTTGAGATCATTTCTACTTGTGCATAAAAGCAATCCAGATCCACATGTACTATGACTCTGAATGAAGAATTTCGTGTGGGCAACACTTGATCACGAACTCCTGCACAATATGCAAAGAAATAAAAAGAAATTCAGGATGCTTATTATCTCTGAGCAACTCACAGTTCCTTAAAACATGGTACCTGTGAAGGAAGAATGCAGAGCGATGTTAGTTTTTTCCTGGATTATGTGTGAAAGCATTGAAATTACAAAGACATGAAACTCTACTTAGAGTAGGGTTTTCAGTCCTCTTAATTACTGTTTCTTTGTGCACTGCATTTTTCTCAGGATAGTAAAAAGTTTGAGGGGAAAAAATGTGATAAATAATGGATGATGCAAGAGCTGATACTATCACCTGGAAGTTTATAGTAGCTTTTAGTGTAAACCAGAAGGGGCAGAAAAGTTGAAATGACATTGGTTTTCACACAACTTGAAAATTATTCTAAGCAGCATGCCCTTACATTTAAAACAACAACAACAAAAACTGAAATACAAAATGGCAAAAGACAACCAGTGGGTACCAGCGCGGGCTATTTTTAGCTCCCACGACAGCAGGATTACCTGGTTTAATGCTAAATCGCCAGTGCCTAAAACAGTGTCTAGGATATAACAGACCATCAATAAATATTCACTAAATTGAAAGACTGAATAGTTCTTTGATTTTAAAAAGTCGTTAGGTCATGTGCGGGGGAGGGAATGACAGAGGCGACTCCTTCTCTCAACACTGGCTAAAAACAAGACAGGCAAAATACAATACAATATTCTTGTTGGGATCCTGGAACAGAAAATGAACATTAGCAGAAAAACTGGTAAAATCTGAATAAAGCGTGTAGCTCGGTTAACAGTATTATACCAATGTTAATTTCCTAGTTTTGACAAATGTACTGAGTTTATGTCAACACTAGGGGGATCTAGCTCCGCAACTTTCAAGTAAACCTAAAGCTGTTTCAAAACTTAAAAAGGCCAGGCACGAGTAATCCCAACACTTTCGAAGCTGAGGTGGAAGGATCGCTTGTGGCTGGAGTTTGAAACCAGCCTGGACAACACAGCAACACCTGATCTAAAAAAAATTTGAAAATTAGCCAGGTGTGGTGGCACGTGCCTGTTGTCCCAGCTACTCGGGAGGGAGAGGCTGAAGCAGAGGATCACTTGAGCCCAGGGGTTTGAGGCTGCTAGGAGACCTTGTCTCTAAATTAATGAATGAAAGAAAACCAGCAGGAAATGAGAACCGGTGCCTTCGCATCCAGGCCCTGAGGTGGGCGGTACAAGGTAAAGACCAGAGCGGAAAGTGGGTCACCGGAGACGTGACCACAGCGGACCTGACTCCGCCTAGGTTCTAAGCCATCCCTTCCTGCCAAGACTGAGAACCGGGTCCCACCTTCTGCCAAATGAGCGACAAGGTCCTCAACTTCTCCAAACTTAAAAGGCCCAGAAGCCTCTGCAGTTGTCGTCTGGCTGCCTGAGGGATTCCCGCCCCACCTGGCCCCTCACAGAGGACGATGCAGATACACCCTCGACACGCATTTGTAGTGTGGACACGCCCCACCCTACTCCTACTGGGTGAAGCCATTCCTCTAGAGGTACCCGCCGCGTAACACCAGGCAGAAGGAGGCAGCCCTCTCTTAGAGGGGCCGAGCGGGGCGGGGACGGTCGC